GGTTAGATCATACCGAAGGCAGCGTAATTCGGTCTAATGCCGAAATATCAAGTCTGGTGGTATAAGGTATTCTGTTGTGAGCAGAGGAGTGGAGTACTCTTCTTGTGAAATATCTCTGGACTCGCTCAATTGTATTAATGTCCTATATACAGTGCAGGTTCCAGGCAGATCTTTCCTTCCTTCCCTCCCTCTCTGGTTTTGCTTACATCACTCTGGCTTCGTATCCCCCGTTAATCTACGCTGACATTAATTTCTGTCGATTTAGCAGCAAAGGGTAGTTAATTTATTCCTGGTTTGAGAGGCTCTGAGACCAAGAAGGGGGTAGTTCTCCAGGATGAATGAGCAAGAAGGAAAACACTTCTACAGTACAAACAACGGAGTACTCCTTGTTTGTTTCGCCCAAAGTCATGAATGCTTTGTCCTGATTAACAGCTTTGACCTATTTATAGCTGAACTGTTCTGTGTCGCTATTGTGCCTCTTAGATATTCTGAACTGCACATAATATTTTCGAACCCAACTACCGGCGTGTTTCTCTCGCAGACATCATCACCGCTTGCCAGCCACTGAAATCAAAACCAGGGAGAGATTTTGAAAGCAGCACTTTGCAGAGATTATGGAAACTGATCTTTTGTGTCTGCAATTCAATTTGGGTGGGAGGGGGTGGAGAGGCACCCTTCCCCTCCTTAATTTACTACAGTGTATCAAGGGAATGTCATTCCAATTATTCTTCCAATGAAGGTCATTAACTGATCAAAATTAAGTCAATGTTTGCAAAGTCTTTTTCTTTCTTTCTTTCTTTCTTTCTTTCTTTCTTTCTTTCTTTCTTTCTTTCTTTCTTTCTTTCTTTCTTTCTTTCTTTCTTTCTTTCTTTCCTTGCATCGAACCAGTATCAGGATGGGGAGGAACAGCTTTGGAAGCAAGTGATAAAATCACGTATTATATCTTAATCATCTCGTTTGGCAAAAGGTCCAGTTTTCTAGAGCTAAACTGGATTCATTATAGTCGTCCTCCACTCTCACCCGCCCAGTTGCTTGGAGAAGCTGCCAAACGTTAATTCCCAAGCTAAGCCATTTAATTTTGTTTTGTTTAATTTGAAACAAAATTATCCTTCTGCCAAAGTTGTGGGGAGAATGTACTTTGTAATTTTTACAGGAGAGGAGTGGGGCAAATTGCTTTCTCCAATGCATTGCATTCAGAGCCAAGGGAATTACTTGGATTTTGGAAGGGCAAGCAGTTGGGGCATATGGCTAAGGCAGTTACAATCTTTCTCAAGCAAAGCCTTCGTCTTGATTTTTGAGTGGTAGAGAACTCAAGAAGGGGACCAAAGTTAGCCAAATCCTGCCATTGACTAATTTAAATTTATTAAATTGATGCAATAGATCAGTGATGGCTAACCTTTCTCTCATTGTGCGGCACACGATGCGCGGGGGCCGGCATCCATAATGCAATGTGTGTGCCCCCTGAGCATGCGCACCTGACCCCCCCATGCTCCCCCTGCCCCACGTGCATGTGCACGTGACCCCCCCCCCCCAACGCTCCTCCCCGCCCCTGCGCATTTTTTGGCCTAGCAGGCCTCCCTGCAGCCTCTTGGGCCTAGCAGTTTTTTGGCCTAACAGGCCTCCGTTTTTGGCCTAGCAGGCCTCCCTGCAGCCTCCTCGGCCCAAAAACGGGCCATGGGGGGCAGGCCGCACCCCCTCGTGCCCTGTTTTTGGCCTAGTAAGCCTCCCTGCAGCCCCCTGGGCCCAAAAACGGGCCATGGGGGGGGCCAGCCACACCCCCGCACTCCATCCCCACTCCTGTGCATGACCCCCGCCCCTGCACATGCGTGCAATCCCCCAGCACATGCGCACGCATCTCCCGCATGCGCCCCCCCCACGCATCCCGAAAATCAGTTGGCCGGTGGGAGGCACACGCACGCGGTGGAACTGAGCTGGGCAAGGGCTCGCATGTCCGCCGAGAGGGCTCTGTGTACCAACTGTGGCACGCATGCCATAGGTTCACCATCACGGCAATAGATGGTCGTTCATTTATTTTTCCTTCAATCATGTGAAAAGAATGACCATTTCAGAGGAACCTCTGGAGACCACTTAACTTTTTGGCAGGGAACTCCAAGTGATGTATCCCTCATTCATTCTGATGGAAAGCTTTTTGGTGGGCGAAGAGGACTGAATTGAAAGAGGGATGTTAATAGGGCAAAAATATAACCAGAATTATGACAAGAAAACAGGTTAGTGGGTCTCACAATTCCCAAGTCTTTGTATCAATTCCAAGCAGGATCTTGAGCTGCTGTTCTTTTAATCTCCATTATCATTGTCTCCGTTTCTCCCTGTGAGAAACCAATCACTTGGCATACCCTGGGGAGATTTAAAAACAATTTGGAGATCTGAAAGACAAGTGAAAGCAGAAGATCTATAACCATGGTTGGATGAATTGTGATCAATATCAGTCCTTATTGTTATTTTTCAAATCTCAGTCCTGAGATTTGGAAAAGATACTGTTCGGTTTTTATCACAAATTAACAACGAACTCTGGGAAGAGCACAAATGTGATGCCATAGTAAGACTTCTATTGTTCGGAAGACTTCTCATTGGACAGAAAGAATCCTTGCCTTAGAAAGTGATTCTAATTTCACAAAAGGAGAGTAAATAGTATCGGGAAACGAAGCCTTTAATTTACCAGGTTGATGTCAAGGAAAGAATGTAGCCGAAGAAACTACATTCAAATATTGCATTCAGTTTTGGTCGCCACGATGTAAAAAAGATGTTGAGACTCTAGAAAGAGTGCAGAGAAGAGCAACAAAGATGATTAGGGGACTGGAGGCGAAACCATATGAAGAACAGTTGCAGAAACTGGGTATGTCTAGTTCAGGGGTCAGCAACCTGCAGCTCTGGAGCCGCATGCGGCTCTTTTTTAACAACTGGTTCTCTGCCCTAATGACCGGCTGGGTAGGCATAGCTAGGGGGGACCTGTGACTGGTGGAAGTGAGTGACATCGAGTTGGCCACGCCCACCCAGGTTTTGTGGCTCCCGGTCTTTTCTTTTCTGTAGGAAATTGGTCCAAATGGCTCTTTGAGTATTTAAGGTTGCAGACCCCTGGTCTAGTTTAATGAAAAGAAAGACTAGGGGAGACATGATGGCAGTGTTCCGATATCTCAGGGGCTGCCACAAAGAAGAGGGAGAGTCAAGCTATTCTCCAAAGCACCTGAGAGCAGGACAAGAAGCAATGGGTGGAAACTAATCAAGGAGAGAAGCAACTTAGAACTAAGGAGAAATTTCCTGACAGTTAGAACAATTAGTCAGTGGAACGACTTGCCTCCAGAAGTTGTGGGTGCTCCATCACTGGAGGTTTTTAAGAAGAGATTGGACAGCCATTTGTCTGAAATCATATAAGGTCTCCTGCTTGAGCAGGGGGTTGGACTAGAAGACCTCCAGGTCCCTTCCGACTCCGACTATTATTCTGTTTTTCTATTCTGTTTTTCTGTAATTTAAGACTTGGTTCAATAATCTTGTAACTGTAACCAGTGTTTCCTTTCATTGATTACAACTGAATTGAATACCAGCTTTGAACCCGCAAAGCTGGTATTTCTTTTCAAAAAAAAGTCAACAGGTACAACAGTGTGATCGAAGCTTCAAACAATATGCATTAAAAAAAAAACTCAGGAAGCTTCATTTGCATGCTCACGATAGCTAATTTGATTGAAACACGTGCCCATGCAAACTTCATGTAGATTTCATGGATTTCAGAGGAAGTCCTGGTAGATTTTCAGAACAGGTAGTCCTAATTTACAACCGTTCTAAGCTACAACGGCACTGAAAAAAAAGAGACTTACAATCGGTTCTTGCACTTATGATTCTCACAGAATCCCCATAGTCATGTGATCAATTTTCAGGCGCTTGATAATCGGCATGTATTTATGGCAGTTGTAGTGTCCTGGGCAGGGGTGGGCTGCTGGGGGTTTGCAGGGGTTCGGGTGAACCTCTACCTAAGATTCTGTGCAGTTCGGAGAACCCCCAAATCTCACTCCTGGCTGGCCCCGCCCGACCCACCCACCCTACCCCTCCCAGGAATTCCCATACAGCCCATTTTGGATGCAGGTAAGTGCAGGGCACACCTGGAGGCTTGGGGAGGGCAAAAAACGGGCCTACCGGAAGTTCAGGAAGGTTGGAAATAGGCCCATTTCCAGCCTCCAGAGGGCCTCCGGAGCCTGGGGAGGCCGTTTTCACCCTCCCAGAGGCTCGAGAAAAGCCTCCGGAGCCCAGGGAGGGCAAAATTGCACCCCACCCCCCATCATGGTGCAGGAGGCCGACTAGGCCATGCCCACCCAGCAACCAGGCAGAGAACCCCTTGCTAAAATGTTTGAAGCCCACCCCTGGTCCTCGGGTCATGTGATCATTATTTGTGACCTTTCCAGCCAACCTTCCACAAACAAACTCATAGGGGGAAACCAGATTTGTTTAATGACCACATAATTGACTTAACAACTGCATTAATTCACTTAACAACTGTGGTGAAAAGGGTTATAAAATCAGGAATGATTCATTTAGCCACTGCCTCGCTTAGCAACAGAAAGTTTAGTTTCAATTGTGGTCATAAGTCAAGGACTACCTTTATCAGTAAGAACAAGGTTTCATTGTTGTATCCTACTGATAAAAAATATTGCTACTTTGGGAAAATACTAGAATCAAATTACAAGCTTCACATTGTTACATACCCAATAAATGTTTTATTAATGGTCTTTACCTTTATTTGTCTATAGGCAATAAAGACGTCTTAGTTATCCACCCTCCAACTGTAAATATTTATATAACATTTCTGTTTTAGGATAATATTCTATGTATCCGAAATGGACATGTTGTAATAACTCTGTTAGTCTTTCAGATCCCATTGTTTTTAGTCATTGTTTGTGGCAGTGGGCAGTCATGACTAATTTTTTGGAAAATCGCATTATTATTTTTTTAACTCCAGCTAAAGAATCCTTTTTTTCTTCTTCTTCTTTCAGCTCCAGGGTTCCTTGAAGAGAAAACTGGTGGTAAATCTGACACCAGGCAATAACAAGAGATCGAATGGCATTGCTGACAACACTTTCCTGGATATTAAGAGAATCCGAGGTGGTGATAATAACCTTTCCATGGGACGTGGTCAGTGTGGAAACAGTTGCTCAAACCAGTCAGTGTTGGGATCATTCTCAGTTGGTCAAGGTGCTCCAAGGAAAATGGACAACTCAACCAGCAGCAATCATTCTGGGGCCAACGGGATGTTTAACATGACTCTAAAAGAGGTCAAGAAGGAACCCGGGGAGACGATCTCTTGTAGTAAACATCTGGATGGTCAGACATCCCACAACAGTGTTTATCCTAACAGATATGGAGAAGACACAGGGGAACAGTTGATGGACCCAGAACTTCAGGAGCTATTCAATGAACTGAGTAATATTTCTGTGCCCCCCATGAGTGACCTTGAATTAGAAAACATGATAAATGCCACCATCAAGCAAGACGAACCATTCAACATTGACATTGGTCAGCAGATCCAGAGAGGGCCCCCTGCCCAATCATCTTCCCTGCAGATGGACAAAATGGTAATCAAACAAGAGTATTCACCGGGGTTGAGCCAAGCTTCAGTGGGATCCCCTCAAATGAGGCCTCCTTCTACAGACTCGGCTTTCACCATGCCTGGTGCTGCTATGTCCACCTCATCTCCCATTCCTTCAGTACCTCAGACTCAGACTCCTCCTTCTCAAGGGACGTCAGTCCCCACTCGGCCACTGGCCAATTGGCAAGAAGTTTCTCATGCCCAACAATTAAAGCAAATAGCAGCGAACAGGCAACAGCATGCTCTGATTCAGCAGTGCCAACAAAGTCAATCAGCCACTTCCTGGCCTGGTTTGTCATCTACAGAACCATCTTCTGGATCTTTTGTGCAGGAGAAGATGTCTAGCCCATCCTTCCACCAGCAGCAACAGTTCAGCCCGCAAAGTTCTACAATGTCTGGCATCCCAGTCAATGGGACTCCATCCAAAGGCATGAACAGTTACTCCTATCGGCCAAACTCCATGCCCCAAGGAAGTTCTGTCAACATGGTAATGCCCCGAAAGCCTCAAGACATCCCCAGAAATTATGTCGGCAACAATCAGGTGTCGCTGGACGAATCTCAGAACAGTATCAAGCCTTTGTTTCATTTCAACTCAGAACAAGCCAGCAAGCAGATCTCTTCTGGTTTGGGAGCCCCCAATAAACCTTCTCTTCTCCACTATGCACAGCAGCCCCCCCAACAGTTGTCTAGCTCAGCGGTTCAACCACAAACTTCACAGCAGCAGCAGCCGCCATATTCGGCCCAACCTCAGCATCTCCAAAGGCCCCCCAACGTCCCCTTAGCTTTACAGCAAAAGATCATGCTCCAGAAAATGCTACAAAACCAACCTGGTTCAGCACTGCAGTTCCTGGGCCCACAGAATCAGATGGTAAGATTTTCTCCTCTACTTTTCTTTTCTCATCCATCGATGTCGGGGTCAACCCAGACAACTTTTCAAATGAGGAAAACTCTCACGATGCGTTACTTGATTTGGGAGGCCGTGTTGTCTGACCTTCTTCCTTTCAGGTTCTGAACAATAAGAATGGTTGAGAGAAGTGGTAAGGCCACACTTGGAATATTGCATTCAGTTTTGGTCGCCACGATGTAAAAAAGATGTTGAGACTCTAGAAAGAATGCAGAGAAGAGCAACAAAGATGATTAGGGGACTGGAGGCTAAAACATATGAAAAACGGTTGCAGGAACTGGGTATGTCTAGTTTAATGAAAAGAAGGACTAGGGGAGACATGATAGCAATGTTCCAATATCTCAGGGGCTGCCACAAAGAAGAGGGAGTCAACCTATTCTCCAAAGCATCTTAAGGCAGGACAAGAAGCAATGGGTGGAAACTAATCATGGAGAGAAGCAACTTAGAACTGAGGAGAAATTTCCTGACAGTTAGAACAATTAATCAGTGGAACAACTTGCCTCCAGAAGTTGTGAATGCTCCAACACTGGAAGTTTTTAAGAAGATGTTGGATAACCATTTGTCTAAAGTGGTGTAGGGTTTCCTGCCTAACCAACTCTGTTATTCTATTCTAAGAGCTTTCTTTGGAGGTGGAGGGTAAAAACTTCCAAGGGTTTTGCAGTCCCAAATTCAGCAGGGCTCTTTTACGGCAATAAGAAGCATAAAAATTGTATGACACTTTGCAGATTTAAGCAGGGAGCTGAATAGGTTGCCCTTTATCTTAAAGTGTGTCATATGGTGACACCTCCCAGGCTGGTGGTAATTGGTAGGAACATGATTTAAATTTTTAGGAAACATGAAAAGATTGCTGCTAGGAGGTCTAGGACAACTCACCATGGCCAACTTGTTGCCGTCAACTTGCCGTGGGACAACTTAATGCAAGATAATAGTACTCTGGACCCGTTCCTCTCTTAATATTAGTAATATTATTGATATCATTAATAATGACATAGTTATCTTGCATTGATTGTCCCCCACAAAAACAACAACCCTGTGAGGTGGTTTGACTGAGTCAAAGGGATTGGCCACAAAGTCACCCACTGGCTTTCATGCCTAAAGCGGGACTAGAACTCAGAGTCTCCTGGTGATTGGTCCAAAGTCACCCAGTCGGCTTTCATGCCTAAGGCAGGACTAGAACTCAGAGTCTCCTGATGATTGGTCCAAAGTCACCCAGCTGGCTTTCATGGCAAAGACGGTACTAGCACTCACAGTCGCCTGGTTTTTAGGCCACCATCCAATTTGTGGTGAGGTGATTAAGGCATCAGGCTGGAGACCATGAGTTCTAGTCCTGCTTTAATTATGAAACCAGCAAGGTGACGGGTGTGTGTATATGTGTGTGATTCACTCTCAGTTCTAGGAAGGAGACAGTGACAAACCATTTCCCAAATCTTGGCAGAAAAACTGCAAAGACAAGTCCAGGCGGACTCCAGGAATTAACAATGACTCAAAGGCACACAGCTCCCCAAAATTTTTCTTAATGATGAGAACAGCCATGCAAAGTGTAAGTTTCTTTTGCTTGCTGACGATGCTACAAGCAAGTATAGCAAGTTGATGACCATTACATTCCTTTCTAGACTGGGCCCTCTCAATTTTCCTTCAGACCACTACCAGGAAATCAGAAAGAGAGGACTACTGTAAATCTGGTCAGGAAACAGGACCGTGGTCACAATAAACGTTTTAGAACTGTTGCAGAGTTGCATGAGTGAAGTCCTGCAACATGTTTATTTATTTATTCCATTTCTATAGTCACCCATGTCAATCAATGACTGCGGGTGGCTTACAATTCCTAAACTGTAAAAACAATTTAAAAACAATACAAATATCCAAAATAAATACTTCGACTTACAACAGTTCATTTAGTGACTGTTGAGAGTTACAATTATGGCCCTGAAAAAAGTGACTTATGGCCCTTTTTTTTCACACTTAGAATCGTTGCAGAATCTCCATGGTCACGTGATCAAAATTCAAACACTTGGCAACTGGCATGTACTTATGACGGTTGCAGTGTCCCTGGAGTCATGTGATCACTTTCTGACAAGCAAAGTCAGTGGAAAAGCCAGATTTATGTAACAACTGCAATGATTCACTTAATAACTGTAGCAAGAAAGGTGTCAGGGTTCCAAGTAACACCCCCAACGGAAAAATTATTATGTTATTATGAATATATATCCCCCATGCTCCATACAATCCCCCCTCCCAATTTCCCACAGTAGTAAATGTGGCAGGCCTAAAGGCCCAATTCCAAAGATGGCTTCCAGGCCTGACAAAATGGGACAAAATTTACTTGACAATTGTCTTGCTTAGCAACATAAATTTTGGGCTCAATTGTAGTCATAAGTCAAGGACTATCTGTATTTTGTGATTATTTATCTATGGTTCTATATGAGTAAATTAGGATTGCTTGTCAGCAAGGGGGGCCATTCAGTGGTGGAGTTGTCTGAAATCTCGCAAAGCATCCCTGGCTGCTCTTGAGTTGCCATAAGATTGATGGCATTTCCAGAACATGTTTCTTGGGCATAAACAACCTGGTACCCAGACATATGTACAGGAACATGTGCCAAAAACATGTACAGCAGTGGCCGAAATTGTGGAAACCTTTTGGGAAAAGTGTATTTTCTAAAACTAGCTAATAACACCACTTTTTTGGGGGGGGGAGTAGTACCATAAAATTATATATCAATGGAAATATCATTTAATCAAGAATGTAATGCAATAACTTTTATGCGGGATTTGCTATTAGAATAGCAGTTACAGTATAAAGAAGAAAAGTGAAACACATAGAAAAAACAAGATATACAAAAATTATCACCATAGAAAAAATGAGATATATAAAAATCATCACGTCAGTTAATAGTTGGGTAAACTTTAGCATGAATTATGGCCTCACAACATCTTCCCATGGAGTGAACCAAGTCTTTTAGTTCTGCAGCTGTTCTAATGTGAAACCAAGATTGAATGATCACTTCTGTTAACTGGGTTTTATTTATTGATTTGATTTGATTTGATTTGATTTGATTTGATTTGATTTGATTTATATGCCGCCCTATCTCCGTAAGACTCAGGGCGGCTCACAACAATAAAATATCCGAATAAAAGTGTGTTAAAATACATGTTAACCCCCCCCCCCCCCAGTCCAGGCTGAACAACCATGTCTTTAAGTCGCGGCGGAAGCTTTTCCAAAAAGCTTTCTACAATTTTGGCCACTACTATATAGTGACACCAGGGTACAAACTGTGCCCTTTATATAATGTATGGGACATTATGATGCAAGTAGAAACAGTGGATTTAGTGAGACATCACAATTCATTATTTATTTATTTTATTATTCATATTTCTATGCCGCCCACTCTCCGCCCACTCTGGGTGGCTTACAACAATCGACAGTATACTAAATAGCATATTGCCCCCAACAATCTGGGTCCTCATTTTACCCACCTCGGAAGGATGGAAGGCTGAGTCAACCTTGAGCCAGTGAGATTTGATCCGCTGATCTGCTGAACTAGCAGTCAGCTAAAGTAGCTGCAGTACTGCACCCTAACTACTGCGCCACCTTGGCTCTTTCTTCCTTTTTCTCGTCATTTTTGGACAATTGTAATTAGAAACTAAAGCTTGTGCAATGCACTTTGAATAAAACATGCCACTAGCACACCTACCCAGAATTCAGCAAGTTGCCAGCTATACCTAGCTTGAATTTATTTTAGGTTATTTTAATTAGAAGTCATAATACATGTGAAGCTTGGTAAGTTGCAGAGGAAACAGCATCTTCGCATGGTGCTTATTTCCATCTCTGTCGTTTGTAAAGCCTCCTGAGGCATCCTTAAGAAATAAATATGGTGGGCAGATGAATTCCAGGACTTGGGTTGGAAGCAAGCCCATCTGGTGGCTGTACTCACTAAAGCAGCCAATTTATGAGAGGCAACCAATTAAATTGCAAATCTCAGGTTTTCTAAGAACTCCAGAATGTTCCTGCAGGTTTTATGAGGAACAGATTCATCCCTCTGTTGGAAAGATGATCCAGCAATGTTCTGAAAGTGAAATCTTCCAAATGGAAGACCTTATTGGTCACACTACAGGTGTTGTTTTTTGAACAATATTAATTGCTTCATTTCAGAAGATTTAAGTTCCACAAAAGTACTAGGCCATTCCTCTGAATGATCAGCACAGCATGGTCCATAACCCAGGATAGTCCATTCCTACAATGATACGTTTTGTGGCTCAGTGCAGGGATGAAATCCAGCAGGTTCTGACAGGTTCTGGAGAACCGGTAATGGAAATTTTGAGTAGTTCGGAGAACCGGCAAATACCACCTCTGGCTGGTCCCAGAGTGGGGTGGGAATGGGGATTTTGCAGTATCCTTCCCCTTGAATGGAGTGGAAATGGAGATTTTGCAGTATCCTTCCCCTGCCATGCCCAGCAAGCCACACCCACCAAGCCACACCATGCCCACTAAGCCACACCCACAGAACTGGTAGTAAAAAAAAAATGGATTTCACCACTGACTCAGTGGCTAAGACGCTGAGCTTGTCGATTGAAAGGTGAGCAGTTCAGCGGTTCGAATCCTTAGTGCCACATAACAGGGTGAGCTCCCGTTACTTGTCCCAGCTTCTGCCAACCAAGCAGTTCGAAAGCACATAACAAATGCAAGTAGAAAAAATAGGGACCATCTTTGGTGGGAAGGTAACAGCGTTTCATGCGCCTTTGGCGTTTAGTTATGCCAGAAACATGACCACGGAGACATCTTCGGACAGCGCTGGCTCTTCGGCTTTGAAACAGAGATGAGCACTGCCCCCTAGAGTTGGGAATGGCTAGCACATATGTGCGAGGGGAACCTTTACCTTTACAAATAACTCGGTGAAATAGCTTGATTCCTGAGGCTGTGTGGATCTCCATCACTTGAGCTTTTCAAAACAGAGTGGACAACCATT